TTGTACTTGGGCCTCTTTGCACATACACTCTCTGTTTTTTCTAGTCGTTGCTTCAAGTAGTACTTTCATATTATCACCCGCTTTTGGCGACGTTTTGCGAGTATGCGCGATGCGCTACCATCAACGAGATGTGCCAAATATTCGAATCTTGTTTTCGTAGAGACTGGATGGACAGACAAATTGAGTTTCTTTGGATTTGTGCCAACAGATATGCGCGGCCTGGTTCCTAATTCATGTGCCTTAGAGGAATTTTGTTCGGAAATGGAGTAATTCTGCGGAAGAACTTTTGTGCGCTAATTGTCTAGCTGTTATTCGTAGTTCCTGGTTTCTCCTTTTTCCGCTTTTCAGGTTTTCGGCTGCACTAGTCGTTCTTGAAAACTCTAAGTGATTTCGCACCATTTCAGGGAAATAGGCGTGGTCCTGTTAAACGCTGGGATTTCGATAATAGTGATGAGTACGAGAAGTACATGGAGGCAAAAGAGGCGTTACCAAAGTAAACTTTTGTTTTTCTTACTCGATCACAATAACTACTGACTCGTGCATTTTCGCAGAAGGAAATTGTTCCAGAGCAGCGTACCAGTTCGGAGTGAAAACGAACGACGGTCGAAAAACGAGGAAGAGCGGGGCTGATCGTGAGAAACTAAAGCTGGACCGTGAATTCTCTGAAATAAGGAAAATTTTGGAAAAGCGAAAAGCGGATGGCCATCAGTCGTATGTTTTAAAAATTGACGGTTTCCTTTACTTCGTTTCCTTTACTTTGAGCAGCCACTAGCCCGTCCGTCGCTGTCCTTTCCGGCCAGTGTTTCAGTCCGCAACGTTGGCGGTTGCTGAATTGTGGGCCAGCCTTTTCTGCCTTTAAATTTACCCTGTTTTAATTCAGCATGGTACAGTGCAGCAGTTTTTTTTGTATGTGATATCGTTTTCTCATCGAAAGTTCAAGTTCATAATAAACTAACGTTTTTTTAGTGAAATCATCAAAAGAATCCGATACTAAAGTGCCGATGTCATCAGAACTCTGCTGAAAATACTTCAATTACTTTTTCCATTTAATTCATACGCTGAGAAAATTTTAGCACTAAAAAGACTTTGCGAACGTGCTCTGTTTCATCTTTATCCATCGGCTCCTGGATAGCTGTTGTTGATTTCAGAAGATGCTTATTAGCTGTATTTCTGCCATTCCTTTTTGTGAGTTCACAAATTTGTGCCGTTCCCTTCAGCGCCGAACACGTACCATTGTTTTCTCGGCTGCGCTCCAAGTAATCGTTTTTTTTT